TTCCTGGTACCTTTTCATGTCCGAAGAGGGTTGGATACATGGAAAGGAACACTTAATTACTGTCAAATTTCTATAACTGGAAAGTTACCAACCTAAAACCTAGTTTTTCTTAAGCTTAAGCTGGACTTACGAATCTTATTTATAAATTTAGTAATTTCAACATAAAAATCATTTTCAGTTAATCTTCGTGTTAGTTTCCATTAAGTCATAGGCTTAACAGGTTAAATCCTTAAACATTTATCTCGAGTTACATAATTAAGCAAATTCCCTTAGACATTGCAAATTAGAATCACAAATGCAATGCATGGAACTCGCCCCAACGTCACATCAGATTTAGAAAAGCGTTTTCCAGAGCATTTAAATTTCTCGAGACTGTAATAATACAAACGTTTGGGTGATCATATTCTCTTAAACATTTCAAAAATCTTCATAAACAATCGAACACACAAGAGAGTTCAGAGCTTACAAAACTCGCTACAAGGCCTGGTGCACATACGCACAGCTGGTGTGTGTGCATCAGTAATACAGGTGTGATTCGTTTCTTCATCATTTACGTGCTGTCTTTTTAAACCTTACTGGGGCCCCGAATTTAGGCGCTCAGCTAATGGGAACAAATCCAATTTCAGGCTGGTTGAGCTCACTTGGTTGGAAGCTTCTGACCCTGACCAGATCATAGATTTTTGAATTACAAAAATGAATTTCTTGTATTATAAATCACTCTACAACTTGCTTTCTTTCCTTGACAGTGTGCTGTGGGCATCTTCCCAGTACATATGGAGCTTCCCCCCCCTTTTTTTTTTTTATCTTGTGATTCAAGAGAATTCCTTTATTTGGATGTCTCACAGTTTACCCAGCCAGTCTCTTACCGCTTATAATTCAAGTTGGTTTCAGTTTTTAATAGACATAGAATGGCCTGACATCCTTTTACGTCATTGCCATTGGCTGGTGTGTTTCCAGACGCTAGGTCCCTGGAGGTCTGCCCATTAATAGGTTCTTGTCCCTTGATCCGTTTTGCACTCCCAGTGTGTGTGAAAGCGCCCATCCCTCCTCCATACCTGTATGACACCTAATATTGGGTCGGATTAATAAAAAAAAATTTTTTTTTGTCAATCTGTTGAGTGGAAAGTATCTCCTTTTTGATTTACAGTCTTTCTGGATATTTTGTCAACTGTTTGAACTTGTATTTTTCCCCGTTTGTTTTCTTGCCAGTTTATATTCTTGTCCTTTCCAATTGGGTTGTTTTATTTGCTGCTTTTTTTCTTAAATGGGAGTTTTGAGAATCCTGGACGCTAAGCATGGGTCCTTCATACAGTTTCCTTTCTGTTTCATTTTGCCACTTTTGTCAGACTTGGTGTTATTACATCTATTCACTGTTCAGTCTTTAATTTTACAGGGTCAGAATTTTGGGTTTTGTGTTGTGCCTAGAAGATTCTTCCCACCCCTGTATTTGGGAATATTCTTCTGTGTAATTTAGTGCCTTTGTAGACTGTTTTTAGGTCTGTATTTGTGATCCAGTCTGTAGTATGCGGCGTGAACCTAAGTTTAATATTAATTTGCCAAATTGTAACCAAAAAAGAAAAAATTAAAAGGAACATAAGATTTGAATTAATTTTATGTGTTGATTTGGGGGAGGACTTACATCTTTGCACAGTTAAACTTTCCCGTGTAGGAACATGGCTCTTCAGATAGATGTTGTACATTTTCTCCTTATATTTATTCCTTATTGTTGTGTATTTTTATGTTGCTCTTATGAATGGGATCTCCTTTTCCTTTATATTTTCTTTCAGGCTGTTGATGGTATGAAATGAAGCTATTGAAACGTGCCTGTTTAACTTTATTGTATATTCTCACATTCGGTGTTGGGCTAACCAGTAGCCAGTGTCCAGAAATGGTTTTGTGGGGGGAAAGATTCAGTCTCAACATAGAAAACCTTTGATATTAACATCTGCCCACAGGACACTTGGGTGTCGATTGTGAGTGGTAATGTTAGGGAGAATGATTCTTTCGTTGTTGGTTTACTGCCGTAGTTTCTAATGTGAATTGCTATTAGGGAGTCCTTATAAGCAGAGACACTCAAGTACGCCCAGCAAATAAGGAAAGTTGGGCTGAGACATGCCTGGTGTTGGCTGGAGAGGCCTTCAGGTATGTCCAGTAATCGAGTGGAGCATAGTAACTCGTCTGAGTTTTGTAAATAATACATGACCGCTCATTGTATGTTAAAAAGAAAATGAAATGAATGTTCTCCAACATCATGGGGAGGAAGAGCTGTCCCAATATCATAGTGAGAAAAATAACTGCTTCTCCCCCAAAATGTTGAAATTCATTTGGATTAAAATCTGTTAATAGTATTATACATATTAAATTAACGCATATTACCTCTGTTTTCCTGTGAATTCGTTGTTTGTCATTTACCAACATTTTTATGTTTGTGTGTGTGTGTTGTTGTTGTTTTTTTTTTTAAAGAAAATAGATGTTACCAATAAAGCTGTTGCAGAAATTCTTTCGAAAGCCACAGAGTATCTTCAGCCAAATCCAGGTAAAGTTAGAAAATGTCTCGACATAGTCTATTGTTCATTCACTGTCATAGACTAACAACCCATGTTTGCTTGGCATATGGCTGACGTAACTTAGAAACAGTGTTTTCTGTGTCCGAATAATGCATTTCAGTTTTTTAAAGTCAAGCCGCCAGCGACCGAAGGTAGTTTCAGGGAGTCCTAGCTGATGAGAAACAGAGCAGATAATCCCGTGGTCTATGGTGACATCATGTGGATAGAGACTTGGTCTTAGCAGCAAGGCGCTGCTCAATAAAGACATGTTTTAGGAGATGCCTCAGAGACCCACTGAATGTTTGGTATGTTTTCTTATTCAGGCGTCTCCTCTTTTAGAAAAAAAATCTGTCATCCTGCTCTAAAGGTATAATTGAAATTGTAATTTCACTTTGTAGCTCGGATGCTAAAGAAATGAAGCAGGAAAAGCAGCATGAAAAGGCCCCTTGTTGCATCAGCTTCTCGACAGAAGGTTCTTAGTTCCGTGGTTGTGAAGCAGCATCCCTTGATGGGTTTTTCCTGGGTTGTAAATGACAGAAACCGACAGGGGGCAGAGCCCCCAAGCCTTGAATTCTGCAAATTTCCCAAACTGCCTTCCTTTTTAGGAACGTATTATTTGCAGGGAGTCGCTGTGACTCCCTTGGGCGTTAGGACTCTCCTACAGACCCAACCACCTGAAAATCTAGACAGGAACAATTTCAAAACATAAATTTTATAAAAACTGCGTCCAGGGAGGTTGGCGGGTATAGAATTCTTTGGAACTGTGTAGAGGTTTGTAATTTCAAGGGCCGCACTCCTGCCTCTCTTCTCTGGCCTCCTCAGTGTCCGAGATGAGCTATGTAAGTTCCTTTTCCCGATAAATCAGCACAGATTTAGCGAGGGCTTCCTCTTGGCAGAGGGGCTTTCCCGGTTCCTGGGACCCAGATCCCATCCTCAGAGCTGGCGTTGGAATGGGGTAGGAGCGGGGTTGGCCAGCAAGGACAGAGGCCTCTGGCCGTTGCCAGTTTAGTGGATGTCAGCCACATGCCTGCCACCTCCCAGTCCCCACCCTGGAAGTGGGAAGGAAGAGCCACGTTTGCGTGTGGCTATTGGAGCACAGGGACCAGAAAGAAAACTGCTTTTAAGCTGAGGCAGGCAAGATTCAAACAGGCTGGCACCAGAAGTGTCTGAAGCCTTGCTCCTCAAAGTGTGGTCCGCGAACTAGCAGCCTCAGCCACACCCGAGAGACTGGGAAACGCAGAGCCTTGAGCTCATCCCAAACAGACTGAACCAGACTTGGCGTTTTAACAGGATCCTCGGGTGAATTGTAGGCACCTTAAGAGTTTGAGAGGCACTGGCCTAGAACACATGAAAACAAGTGTGATTATTAAAGTAGAAGAAAATGAAAGCGTACCTCTTTACTTCCTGGAGTTATCACAGACGCCACAAGCTGGTACGTGATTCGCTCTCTAGCCCGGGGAATAAAAGCCCAGGTTCTTAGCTTGGTATTCAGTTCATAGTCGTATTTTCCCATAGATCTCTCCTGATTCATCCTGGTTTTGTTTTGTTTTGTTTTGGGGGGGGGCACAAGTGAGCGAGGGGCAGAGAGAGGAAGAGAGAGAGAAGCGAGGTTCACTTAAAGCAGGCTCGTGCTTCCCTGATGTGGGACTTGGACTCATGAACCGTGAGGTCATGACCTGAGCCGAAGTCAGATGCTTAACGACTGAGCCCCCCCCGCCCCAGGCGCCCCCTGATTCATCCTGTTTTAATTTCAGCTTAGGTCAGACTGGCCTCCTCTTTATCTGTTGGTTCTGTACCATAAACATCCCACCTTCTATACTGTTGACATGATATCTGCACTTTGTAGGCACATCTTGCTATTTGTATTCAGCATATTGTTATGGTCACACCACACTTTATTTGCCCGGTGCATCTCGTATATTCTGTCCCGCAGCGACTAGCTCTGTGCTCCTGTAGGGCAGCCGCTGTCCTGGGTCCCTCTGGAGCCGGAGGAGTTAGCGCTGTGTGTCACACAGAGCCGGGATCAGTAAGCACTGATGGCCTGAGTCGGGGAAGAGAAGTTGAGAAGCAGTGGCCGCCCGTCCTTTCCCTCGTGGCAGGGCATCTGACCTGCACCGTGGAGCATCAACACAGACTCCTGTTCACTCAGCAGGAGTTCGTCTCCTCCCGTTGGCTCTTCTTCCTCAATGGGAGTGCGCCAAAGCCCTTCATCAGGATATTGAATATAATCACTCCGAATAAATTCTTGGGACAGGGAGGGTGACAGGGGCCTTTTGGTGGTTTGAAACATCCACCTCAGCGATGCCGTCCTTGGTGTTCTGTTGGTCCCCGGGAAGGATCGCCTCCCCGGTACTGGCATCTGGCTCTGGGCGTGCGTGTTGCAGGCCCTGCTCGTGTGTCCCTGTGCAGCGGGGACACTTCTGATGTTCGGAGTCAACGGCGTGTGCGTCGTTTCCATTTCCCCTTGCTTAGCAACCCCCTCTTCCCCCCACCGCCCGGCCACTTGGAAACAGAATCTGGAAAATCATGTGAGAGGTGAAATAGGTCACACAGTCCCTTTCAGATGCTCCAGGTGTCCCACGTTTTGCCCACCGGGGTGACCTCAGTTTTGGCGTCATTTGTTAAATGTGATGTACCTGTCACTCCGCCTTGTCATTTTAAGGAATTACAAATGACAATGTTTTTAAGCATACAGAGCTAAGCTAGGGATGCTGAACACTGTGTCGAAGATCCGAGGACAGGTGAAGACCACCGGGTACCCGCAGACGGAAGGCTTGCTGGGCGACTGTATGCTCAAGTACGGGAGGGAACTCGGGGAAGGCTCCACCTTCGGTGAGTGTTTGCAGATCGCCTGGAGCGCTTTGTATGAGTGTGTGTGTGAGTGTGTGTGTGAATGAAGGGGGGAGGGAAGGGGAGGGACAAAGAGAGGAGTGGGGAGGCTCCACCTTGGGTGACTGTTCGAAGATTGCCTGGGGGCTCTTTGTGTGTTGGGGGAGAGGGGGAGAGGCAAAGGGGGGAGGCTGCACCTTCGGTGACTGTTCACAGATCACCTGGGATCATTTTGCCCCGGGGGAGGGGGCAGGGTAGGGGGAGGGGCAGAGAGAGGAGAGAGAGAAAGGGAAACCCAAGCAGGCTCTGTGTTGACAGCAGAGAGCCCGATGTGGGGCTTGAACCCACGACGCATGAGATCATGATCCAAGCTGAAATCAAGAGTCGGACACTCAACTGACTGAGCCACCCAAGCACCCCACAATACCTTCATGTTAACAAGCTTTATTATTATTATTTTTATATCACCCAAGTAATACACGTTCGTTGCAGAAGGCTTAGAAAATATAAGCTAGTGAAATACAAGAAAGGAAGTGCTGACATCACCCACAATCACGTATCTGGTGATGGACCTTTTGTGTATTCTCATCCCTAGTCATGTACACCTTCACAGCCCTTTGTGTATTCTCATCCCTAGTCACATACACCTTCACAACGTTTATTCTCATCCCTAGTCACATACACCTTCACAGCCCTTTGTGTATTCTCATCCCTAGTCACGTACACCTTCACAAGGTTTATTCTCATCCCTAGTCACGTACACCTTTACAAAATTAAAATGGAGTTATGGTATCTCTACCTTTATACCCTTTTGTAACTTGCTTATTTCTATCGACTGAATCAAGATCCATGTCATAAAATGATTAATCTTCTATGATACTGTTTTTTTTTAAACTTTTTTTTCTTAACGTTTATTTATTTTTGAGACAGAGGGAGACAGAG